AACACATCCTTCACTTGTATTCTTACATCACCACTTTGGACCCTCCCCAGCATTTGTCTCCGTTTGTAATTGGGTATTGGGTTATTTATTTGAGGTTGGAGCCTGTCTGTCCCCTGCTGTCTTCCCACCTTCCAGCAAGGGCCTGCATAGAACAGATGCTTGATGCATTACGGTCACATAAGTGGCTGCTGGCAGAGAGCCTCTTCTGTACCCAGTACTGGTTTGAAGATGTCTTCAGTGGCGTGAGATCAGGGATCAGGAACAGATACAGCCAGTGGAGCAGCCAAAGGCTCCTACTTTGTGCCCAGCCTGATTCTAGAGCATAATTCCGAGATCCCTTCTAGTTGTCCTTGAAGCAGCACAGTGGCAGGTTGAGACCTCTCTGATAATGGTCACGGTAATTACCCCCACCAGCCACCAACCTGTCAGCTGGAAAGAGCACGCAGGAGCACGCTCTCTGCTCCTGCTGAAAACATTGGTCACGTTGGAGGTTACATATTCCTATTATGTCATGGCGGGCACTTGTGTTATCATAAGAGTAATGGATCTCAGGAGTTCAGAAGTTAAAAATGAAGTTTGTTTCATTGATGGAGAAAGTACTTAGCTCACAGGCAACTGGGACTGTGTGTCCTGAGGTGCATCAAGGAGGGAAACATTTTAATCAAAAGGAACAGGTTCAACTCACCTGATGTTTTTTTTCTAATGATGAGAGCTTAGAACATATTGACCGAGGTGATCAGCATTTAGGTCTTTGGTAGATAATGAGGAACTGCCCGATTTATATTGGAAACAGTTGCTGCCCGGGGCCTTTAATGAGGTGTGCAGTGCTGGGGAGAGAAAGGCACTTAGCGTCTGGGACTGGGTGTGGAGCGAGAGGGAGAGGAGGCTCTTTTTTTAGGCCATCGGATTGATTCCTCTTGTCCTTCCGGGTTTCAATCCTCATTCTGCCTTTCCCAGCCAAATAAATACCCTTTAGCCAGTTGTTCAGCGCTTGGAACCTCAGATTCCTCTTCTGTACAATGGGGTTAATGGTGTAATTATCTAGGGAATGGTTTATGGTTTATGAGAATTAAAAGTGACATTGTATAGCTGGGTGCAGTGACACATGCGTGTAGTCCCAGTTACTCAGAAGACTGAGGTGGGAGGGTCGCTTAAACTGGGAGTTCGGGTCCAGCTTGGGCAGCATAGTAAGACTGTTTCTTAAAAAAAAAAAAAAAGGCAATGTGGGTAAAATCTGAGGATGAGGTGGAACACGGTAAGCACTCAGGAAATACCTGTTGTTACGCAAGCTGTCAAGTGACATACTTCCTAAAATCTAGGAAATAGGAACGTCCTGGGCTTGTTCCACTATAACAAGGAACTTCCTAAAGAAAATGCTGTGAATGAAAAGTGACCACAATTTCCTAGCTTGCTAACCAGTCACTTCATCTCGAGGCAATGCATATTTCACCAGAAGGTAACCTTTTCCTTGAGAAACACACCTAAGGGTTTTGTGCTTAACTTGGCCCACTGGAGTGGCTACTGATTTTATCATTAATCAGAAAACACTTTCTATGTCTGCGCATTGCTGTAGAGTGGACTTTGCCATAAGTTGCCTATTAAATTATTCAAATTTGTATTACACAAGAGGAAGGGCACTGCTATCTCCTTAGTGCCTAGAACAGTGCCTGTACGTAGTAGGTGCTTAATAAACATATGGTGAATGAATGAAATCATATGCCTGTAGGCGTTTCAAATGGAAAGACTGTATCCCCGAGAAATGAAAACTTAAGCTCACCCCAAAGCCCCATGTGAATGTTCTCAGCATATTTATTAACAGCCCAAAAGTGGAAACAGTCTAGATGTTCAGCAGTCTGTGGGTTCCATGACAATGTGTCTGTACCAGGGAACACTATGCAGCAATGAAAAGGATTAAACTATTGATACACTAATGACTTGGATGAAACTGAAAGGAGTTATTCTGAGTGGTTAAAGCCAGTCCCAAAAGGAAACATTGATACATAGTGTATAATTCCATTTGTACATTCTTGAAAAGAGGAAGTCAGAGAAGTGGAGGACAGATTAGGGGACAGGGAGGGACATGGGTATAGTTATAAAAGGGCCGTGTGAGAGACCCTGGTGGTGAAGGAAATGTTCTGCATCTCATCGATGTCCACATCCTGGCTGTGAAATGCACCGCTGGGCTGGGCGCGGTGGCTCACACCTGTAATGCTAGCACTCTGGGAGGCTGAGGCAGGCGGATCACTCAAGGTCAGGAGTTCTAAACCAGCTTGAGCAAGAGCAAGACCCCGTCTCTACTAAAAATAGAAAGAAATTAATTGGTCAATTAAAAATATATAGAAAAAATTAGCCGGGCATGGTGACGCATGCCTGTAGTCCCAGCTACTCGGGAGGCTGGGGCAAAAGGATTGTTTGAGCCCAGGAGTTTGAGGTTGCTGTGAGCTAGGCTGACTCCACAGCACTGTAGCCCAGGCAACAGAGTGAGACTGTCTCAAAAAAAAAAAAAAAAAATGAAAAGAAATTGCACCGCAATGTCGTACAATATTACCATCTGGGGACATTGGGTAAAGAGTACAAAAGAGCTGTCTGTATTCTTTCTGCATGTGAGTCTACAATTACCCCAAAATAGTCCAATTTAAGAAAAGTAAAGGACTGAAAGAACGACATTAATTATTAAAAATACAATGGACTGATTCCCTGTTTGTGAACCATTAACTCAAGTCTTCACAGCAGCCGTGTGAAGGAGATGGAGGTGATGTCACTATTTTACAGAGAAGAAAACAGGCTCAGAGAGGTTAAGGGACTTGTCTGAAGACACATAGCTGGACAGTGGTGGAGATGGGACTCAAACTTGGGAGCGCAGGCTCCAGACCCTGAGTTCTTTCCTCCAGTCGTGCAGCCTAATGCCTGTGGTTTGGATGCTGAGCAGAGCCACGAAGCTCCTCTGTCACACATGGTGGTGTAATGTCTGACCACGCAGCCATGGGACGTGGGTGGCCTCTTCTCAAGTGGCCAACAGCTCTGTAGTGTAGGGAGGAGAGGTGGCTGCAAGTCACCCTGAGCTTCCCCGTCTGCTCCTGAGTGCGCCTCTGGTCTCAGGAGTCGGGACCTCCTCCCCACCCCTCGTCTTTTGTCTCATACGAGGACAGCGGTGTGCAGTGTTGGCTGTCGTTATGCTCATTTTACAAGTGGGGAGACTGAGGCACGGGAAGGAAACTGGGGTGTTGTCCTTCCCAGCTCTGGCATCCTGGGGTAATAATCACAGTTCCTCTGATTGGTCTCACATGGCTGCTGTTCTCAGGGTATTTTCTGCCCTGTGACGGGTGTCGGGGCACAGGCTCTGGAGACAAAGTCCAGCAGTGCTGGGATGGAGTCTCACAAATCACCAGACTATGGCTTGGGGCAACCACCTTCTCGTTTCTGAGCCTCAGTTTCCTCATCTGAGAAGTGAGGGAATAATGAGTAAATGAGAAGACGTATTTGGTAGCACATTGTAGGAGCAAACGCCACTGGCAGTATCCGAGGTCTGCGCTTGGGAACTCTGGTCTGTCTGCCCCAAGGCCCAGGGCTCTGAGCTGAGAGCAGCAAAGCCCTCACCTGAATTGTCCTCCCTGGTGGCACCTCTGGGCCTGGCTGTCCTGGACTGAGTCCTTCCTGATTGCTGGCTTCCTAGCAGGATGGCATGTGTTGGAATAGGGGCCTCCCAGAGGGCCTGGGGAGCCTCCTGCAGGAGGCAGCGCCTAAGCTGAGAGCTGCTAGGTGACTGGGCTTTCCCAGGTGAGTGGGAGGAAGTGGATGGAAGGGTATTCCAGGGAGAGGGAACAGCAGGTACAAAGGTCCAGAGGTCAGAGTGGTCCAGGAGCTTTGGGGGAACTATAACTAGGGCATTAATGCTTGAGCTTTCAACAGGGAAAAAGCAGAACTTAGTTCTTCTGTCCCTTTGTATCTTCTATTAAGACAGCCCAAAGCAGTCTGGAGGTGTTTCAGGGAACTCATGGCTAGGTAAGGAGTTTGGGCTTCATTTCGAGGGCAGTGGGGAGCCATGGAGGGTTGAGCAGAAGAATGATGCAGATAGACCTATGTGTGAGAAGGGTGCCTCTGGCAGCCTTGCACAGTGGAGGCAGGGAGGCCAGGGAGGAAGCTGCTGCAACATCTGGTGAGCCATGCTGGGGGACGGGAGCAGAGTGTGGGAGTGAACTTGGATAGCCCTAGAGCAGCTCAGGACGTCTGTCAGTGCAGAACTTACAGAGCTCTTAGTGAGGCCAGTTGTGGTGCACTGAGGGTAAGCTGGGTTTCTGTTTGGGGTTCTGGAGGTTTTACTTCTTTTTCCGTCTTGTCTGTCACACAGGGATGATTTCCACTTCCCCCATCTCTTGGCGTCCTTTACCTCAGTGAGGGTCAAATGGCAGTCTCCCTGAGCCTGTGCTTGCAGTGACAGAACAACCAGAACCCCACCCAGGGGCCATAAAAAATACCCTGGCGGATGAATGGAGCCCCTGGTGTCAAACTCATAAACTCCCTTATTTTGTCCAGCGATTTTTCCCAATGCATCACAACCCGATCACCTTAGCAGAGATACTATTTCTTCCCTTTCCTGTTTTTTTTTTTTTTAATTATAAAGACTGGATTGGGGGCCGGGCAGGGTGGCTCACGCCTGTAATCCTAGCACTCTGGGAGGCTGAAGTGGGTGGATTGCTCAAGGTCAGGAGTTCGAAACCAGCCTGAGCAAGAGTGAGACCCCATCTCTACTATAAATAGAAAGAAATTAATTGGCCAACTAATATATATATATATATATGTGTGTGTGTGTATATATACTACATACTACATATATATATATATATAAAAATAGCCGGCATGGTGGCGCATGCCTGTAGTCCCAGCTACTCGGGAGGCTGAGGCAGCAGGATCGCTTGAGCCCAGGAGTTTGAGGTTGCTGTGAGCTAGGCTGACACCACAGCACTCACTCTAGCCTGGGCAACAAAGTGAGTCTCAAAAAAAAAAAAAAAAGACTGGATTGGGGTTCTCTTCCTCTCTCCTGCTTACTTAAGGAGAGGTGCTGAGAAACAATGCTGTCACCAAACAGCAGGTTCCAAAGCAAGCAGAAATCAGCATTTATGGAGCACCTACTGTGTGCTGAGGCTCCCTTGTGTGGTACCTCCTTGATCTTCTGGGGTAAGGCCACGGGGGATGAAATCCAACAGAGTAGAGTTTGTGTCTGGGTGTGCCGTGTCCTAGCTAAGCGGGACCTTGGGTGAGCAGCTTCAGCTGCTCTCAGCCCAGCTCGCACATCTGTATAAGGGGTCACTCATTAGACTCACCCCAACAGGTAGCCGATGGAATCAGCATGCCCACTCCAGCCATGGCCGAACAGCCAGGCTCTGTGCCTCGTAGTGAGGATGGACTGGCAAGCGGCCACTGCTGGTAAATAACCCCAGGAGCTTGGCCTCGGTGTTCCTGTTAGGGGAGGGAAGTAAGAGTCACCGCCCCAAAGCCACCAGGGTGGATGTCCTGACTCTGCCATGCCCTTTCCACAAAGGCCTGCAGGGGACACAGCTGAGGTCACCGCCTCTGCCTAAGGTCAAATATAACCAACAGCCTTTGCTCCTCCCCTGAGAACAGGGAGAAACTTGACTGGGCCATTAAGGGGTACAAGAGGCCCCCTTGTACCTGGTTGGGTACATTAGTGGGGTACATTAGGCCCCCTCATCCTGGTTGGCTAATCAACAGGGCCCATTTTGATTTTTCACCCCACCCAGCCTAGAATCTTCCAAAAACCCAGATAATAGTTGCTTGGGGTTCTGTGCACTTTTTATAGAAGAGCATTGTGTTCATTTACAAGGGCTGCTGTAACAAATTACTACAAACTGGGGGGTTAAAACAACAGAAATTTATCCTGTTGTGGTTCTGGAGGCCAAAAGTCCAAAATCAAGGGTCGGCAGGGCCACGCTGCCTCTGCAGGCGCTGGCGGAGGACCATTCCTTGCTTTCTTCAGCTCCTGGGGGCTGCAGCGGTTCCTCAATCTGCAGCTGCATCTGTCTAAGCTCCGCCTCTGTCTCCACGTGGCTGGCTTCTCTTGGTTCCTGTCTCTTCTTATAAGGGCAATAGTCATTAGATTTAGGGCCCACCCTAATCAAGTATAACCTTATCTTAATTGAATTAAATCTGCAAAGACCTTATTTCCAAATAAGGTTACATTCTGAGGTCTAAGCGACTCATGTTTCCTTGGTCTTGACAGCTTGCTTTTCCCAGGGCCTCAGTTTTCATCTCTGTAAATTGGGGATAATAACCGCACCTTCCCTGTGAGGTGGTTGTGAAGATATCACCATGCCAATTAATACTAGAGACCGACTAGTCCAAGGTCTCATTATTTGGACTAAGAGTCTGAGACAGGGAGAGGAGCTGTGGCTTTGAAGTGGTGATGGGCCTAGAATCAAGGCTGGATCTGCTGACTCCAGAAGAGTGCTCTTTCCTCTAAAACGCAGCCCTGGTCCTCCTGGCAATTGCCTGGGAGGGTCTGAGCCTTTTAATAATAAAGCTAACACTTAGGGATGTAGGGGCTAACCTTCAACTGACCCTGTGAGGCAGAGACTGCTGTAATCCGCATTTTACTGTTAAGGAAACCAAGGCTGGGGCAGGTTTAAGTTACGAGTCCAAGGCCACAGGCACATCCAAGTCTACCTCTTCCTTCCCAAGCCTCCTCTGTGCCTCACTTTCTCCATCTTTAAAATGTCATCTACTCTGGGTTACCAGCTTTGAGGACCCTTCTCTCCAGCAGAATCATGCTGAGTGTTACATAAACCCCAGCTCGCCCAGGGTTGGGGCGGGGGTGTCTCAGCTTTCCTATCTCCTGTCCCTGACACTACGGAGACTTGAGATTTTTACACAGACGGGAACTGTGTGTGGGGCGGTGAGCAAGTGAGAGTGTGTGTGTGTGCATGTGTGTGTTTGCAACAAATATTTTATAATAGACAAGCCTCGTCTGCCACTTCTAAAAGTAGTGAAAAAAAAAACCACAAAAAAAATGCTTTGAGAAAGTAAAAATAACCCAACGCCTGAGTCACTGAAGTCACTGAACTCAGCTGGAACCTGCTGCCTCAGGCTGTGACTGCTTCAGCTGGCCTGGGGCAGCAGGCCCGGGGCCAGAAATTTGGGGGACGGACACCTGAGCCTTTAGGGGGCAAATCCCAGTTGTTAGTTTGTGGGTGAACTGCCCTTCTGCCTTTTTTTTTTTAAGCTGCAAGAGGAACTGTCTCTCTAAAATGCTTTATCTTCTTTCTCTTTTAAAAGTGACTTGACAATTGATAATTTTGCCCTGGCGATGGACACCTTAGAGCTTTTATTTCTTGGAGGCCAAACATTGATGTTGTGTGAAATGGGAGCTTGGCGGAGCCTTTGTGCGGATCTCAGGCTTCCTGAAAAATTTATTTACTGTGACTGTGATCCGCAGGAGCGAATTGATGTTTATCTATAGTCGTTCATGCCAGCAAGGAGGGGAAAAATGCATAACTGCACTTTCTTCGGAAGCCTTGCGAGGCTGTTTAAATAAGTATCTAATAGTGAACTTTCAATAGCAGACAGGCAGTTTGACGGACAGGGTACAGTGTATTATTAACCATAAGCAGGCTTAATCTTTCCCCCACGTTTTAGAGGAAGCTTTATAACCTTCTGGCCGAGGAATTCATGAGAACCAGGTATTTGAAGCTAAGCAAAATTATCCCGGCCGTTCCAGTGGCAGAATCGATAACTCTGAGAGCTGCATGGACAAGGGGAAGCAAAGTCTGCGGCTGGGCCCAGAGTGAGCAGCTGTGGCCACCTCCTTGTGGCCGAAGGTCGGGAGAAGTGGCCGGGGACCAGGAACAGGCAGGGGGAGGCGAGGGTCCTGCCTGGAGCCTGGTTGTCCTACCAGGTGAGTAACTTCTGCTGTTGCCGGAGCTTAGAGGGCTGGCTGGCAGGGACCAGGAACAGGGATCTCTGTCTTCCCTCTGTGCCCTGGTGGCAGCAATGCCCAGCCTTTGGTGGCATCCACCTTTTTAAGCAATAGAAATGATTTATGTGCTTCTTCTATGCATATCTGTCTTGCCCATTGGGCCAGAGTTTTGTGTAGCCCGGAAGCTGTCTCGTTTAACCTGGAGGTTGCACTTGATCGCTGGGAGAAGGTAGACTCTTAGTTATGGGATGCTCCCCTAGTTCTGGCCCTCATCACCTTGGCAGTAACAGAGCCATCAGTGTCTGTCTCTCCCCCATGGGAGGCTCAGCCACAAGAGCCCGGGGACTCATCACCTTCCCCTCAGACTCCCTGGCACCAAGCACCTCCTGGCATTTCTTACCATTTGCTCATTGTTTGTTGAATGACTGGCTGTAGGTTTTCCTGGGAGGAAACAGCTGTGGCAGATAAACTTGGGATCAGGTTCTGGTCTGTTTCCCACTGTGTGTCCTCAGGCAAGTGGCCTGCCCTCTCTGAGTCTTTGTTTCCTGGTCTTTAAAATGTGGTAAGGGGGGAAGTGACTTCACCATTTTAAGTCTGTTTCCTTATTTGTAAAAGAAGCATAACAATGCTATCTTTGAGGCTGCGAGGTCTGGCAAGAACTGGTGTTCAGTAAGGTACAGCCGTTCTTATTGAAACCATTATTCTCAATATTACCGTCATTGCCATCGCTACTTTTTCTCTCCTTGACTCAAGGGAAACTCATAGCCTCCATTTTATCTGCCTTGGACACTGTCACCCCCTTTCAGTGTCTCAAAGGCATAATGAGGGGACATATGAGTGCTCTAGAGGGTCAGAAAATGCTGAGGCTGAAGCGCTTGGCACCAGAACTGGCCTGGCACGAGCCCCCGGGAAGGGCGGCAGCTCTCACGGACCTGCTCAGTGCTGGAGCTCAGGACCTGCTCCCCACGGGACTCTGAGCCTCCTGCAGCGAGGAGGTCAGTGGGTTGACAGTGAACATGGGGGCAAGAGGCAGTGCTGCGGGCTAGGCCAAGCCTGAGTAGAGAGACTTGTGGTGAGCGATGGCCCCAGGGTTATCCATGTCACTGAGCCCTCTGTCAGCAGGGAGAACCAAGAGCTGCTGGACGCTCAGAGCGCGACATCACCAGAGCCTGGTTCCCATTCTCATGGCAGCAGAGGGTCCATAATGGAGCCTTTCTGAGTGGGTGAAGGGGAATCAGACCTTGGTCTCAAGTTCCCTAAGTGGCTGAGCTGAGGTTCTTTGCCTGCCATGCTCTACCCTACCCCATCCTTTCTTCCTGCTCCCCTAGCAGCCATTTGGGTTTTCCCAAATTACTGTCACAAAGGCTACCATGCATGGAACAGAGTGGGGAGGCCAGGCCCTGTGCTGGGTGCTTCCTGTGCAGAATTTTGGGAGCGTTCATTGCCTAACACCCATTTTCCAGATGAGGAAACTGAGGCTTACAGAGGCAAAGTCACTTGCCCAATGCCTCACAGCATTGCCGTTGTCCGTCCCTCTTTTCTGATGCCTTTATGCCCCTACTTCCTTGCTCAGCTGCGTCTCTAGCTTCCAGAAAGCAGGGGTGGCTCCACCGCTGGGTGGGCTTGTGATTAGAGCTGGAATTGTCCAGGAGACCTGGCCAGAGGAGGCTGGGGGACAACAGAGCTCTTGGCTGCAGAGAGTGAGTCCCTATTGTCAAGATGGAATGTGTTAAATCCTAAAAGCAGGGTCTTGTCAACTCGGTGGGCAGAGCCCAGCATCCCTGGAGCCCTCGCGCTGGGGTCCTTCCTGTTCCTCCTTGCGCTTACCCCTCCCTGACTTCTGCAGGGGCTCCGGTCCAGATGCACCCAGGAAGTGATGCATGGGGCCCATAGACATGTGTGCATCACCTGAGGCAGCTGGGTGTGGCCTTGGAGCGAAGACCCACATTGTTCTGGGCTGAGCATGAGGGTCTCAGATGCTCAGGTACCTGTTTTGGGGTGATGAGCCCCAGCTTCTTCCCCGCTTCCTGTTTCATTTCAGGGGAGGGCCTCTTCTCACTGCTCGCCCAGTGTCCCTGAGCCCCATACCTCCAGGCTGCAGCGCCGGGAGCCGGGGAGGAAGCAGAGGAGCCTGGATCTTCCTTTTTGGATTTACTTACTAGAAGCAAACTAATACAAGAGCTTAGAGCAAGGCACGAGTAGCAGAGGGAGCTTAAAAATTATATTAATCACAAGCAGCAATAACATACATATTCATGTGTCTACTCTGGGCCGGATCTGGGGAGCTGCTAGATAAATAAGATGGACTCCTGCTCTTAAGGGGGTCACTGGGTAGGGAGACCACCCGTCACAGCACAAGATGGCGTTTTCCACAGCAGTGGGTACCGCTCGGCAGGCGCTCGTGTCAGGAGCAGGGAAGAAGCCTCGAAGATACTGTGGCGGGTCTCAAAGGATACGTATGCTAGGCAGGGAATTAGGGTGACTATTTTATACCCAGGAACAGCATTGGACCCTTGGAAAAGCGTGGGAATTGGCACAGAGGGTGAGACCTGGGCTCTGGGGCGTTGCAAATCATTTTATTGGGATCCGGGTGCGCTTGGAGTGATTGGTGGGGGTGAGGTCAGGTGAGGGCCTCCTGGGCCACAGTGCAGAGTTTGGATTCCCCCTCCCCTGAGGCGTGAGGGTGAGGATTTGAGCTATCGGAAGCCTTTGAAGGGTTTAAGCTGGGGACAGTAGTGACAGGATACACTTACCTTTTACGAAGAGCTCTCAGGCCTCTTTTGGGTGGAGAAGGAGGGGTGTAGGGGGAAGAGCAGAGTTGGGAGGCAGGAGCTGCTGTGGTCATCTGGTCTTGGCATCAGGGCTGCCCAGGAGGGGCCAGTGAGGGACATTTCCAAGGGAGACTCGTGCCCCTGAGGACGCTGAGGGTGTATGAGCTGCCTACTGACATTTCTCTTCTCCATCTCATGTTTTAAACTGAAGGCTTGGGGAGCCCCAGTTGGCAATGTAATAAAGTGTTAACAGTTGGAGACGGCTGGAGGGGGCTCTGTACCCCCAAACCCAGAGCAGAGAGGATAGGAACAGAGCAGGATGCTGCAGGGTCTTCCTTTCCCGGTTTCTCTGCATGAGTCCAGAGGAGAAGACGCTGAGCCGTGCCCAAGGGATCTGACCTTGGCTGGCACAAGCTGGCTGTTCGTTTATTCATTCATTTGGCAGCCGCCTGTGGGGCTTATGCTGTGCCTAGGCAGGGGAGGCAGGGAGCCCCCAGACAGGGACAGGCCAGGAATGAGGCAGACAGAACCAGCCCGGGAAGAGCTGTGCCCTGAGCCTGGAGCCCCAGAGGCCTCTGGAGCTGAGGAGAGATGCTCGACATGGCCTGAAAGGTCAAGGAAGCTTCCTAGAGGAGGCTGCCTGCATCATGTGGCTCAGTGACGTAGGACCTGGGCTGCCCCATTCATTCCACGTGGGATCCCAGACTCCAAGGTATGGAATGGAGTGACTTGGAAGCTCAGACCTCAAGGGTGACCAAGTCTAGCGCTGGCAGAGGCAGGAAAGTGTGCTCAAGGTAGAGGGAACAGCCTGGGCAAAGGCTTGGAGATGGGCTTTGTGGTATCACTGCTCAGAGTGCTGGGACCCCTAGGCGAGCAGGGTGGAGTGAGAGCTGGGGCGGAGACGAGGTAGTGCTGCAGTTTGGGGTCCGGACCTCTGAGCTCATAAAAATAGCTCAGGTTGCTTCCCCAGACTGCCGTGTGGTTTCCCTTCTTCCTTAAGTCCTTGCCAAGCCCGGATCCAGGTTGGGTTGTTGCAGGGAGGTGTGAGGTGAGACTCCAGCGTGCAGGCAGGGCGGATTGTGGGAGGAATGTGGGGGTGGTGAATGGCACCCCAGTTCCTGACCAGACCCTGCATTTGTTGGGGGCAGACCTGCCATTTGAAGGCCACCTGCCTCGGGTGTGGTGCTCACGTTGCAGAACAGAATTGGATCGGCGGGGATCCTGGCTGAGGGGAGAGACAGAATCTCTGGGGGAACTTGGGAGATGTTTCTCTGCCAGATTTGGGACTCCCGATCTCACTGACCCCCTAACTGCTTTATCGGGGGCCACGGGGATGGTGTAAAATCCAGCCCAGGTAGCCAGTGGGTCCCTGGGTCAGTGCCCCTCGTGCACAGTGACCCTGTGTCTCCTTGATGCCCAATGCAGCCAATGGGCAGCCCAGGCGGCGAGGTACCGTCTGGCTGTATCGAGAGCCAAAGAGGTAATGCTAATGTCTTTTAAAATTAGAATGAAAATGTTTATTGCAGAGCAGAACCTGCGTCAGCTCAGAGTCCTGTGGGAAGGGAACGGCTTTATCGCAGCCTTTCGCTTTTATTTTTGCACATTCGCTTTTTATTTGCCGGCGGTGCTGCTGACAGGCCCTCGGAGTGGGCTCTGGCTGCCGGGCCAGGGCTGTGTCTGGACGCTCCTGGGGGCCTCAGACAGCTCCGGAGAGAGGGCACGAGCCGCCCAGGGTGAGTGCGAGGACCCACCTTTGGTTGGGAGGACTTGCGGGTGTGAGTGTAGGAGGCTGACTGGTGTGTGTGTCCTTGTGTCTGCGTGTGCATTTAGCCCGACATATGCGTGGCGTGTCGCTCTCCATGTGCCTTTTTCTGCATGCATCGTGGCTGTGAGAGTCACCCATGTGCGAGATGGAACGTGGATCTCCAGCTCTCTCTGTGTGCACTCATGAATCGTATGTGTCTTTGGGAGATGGCCATGGGTGTGGCTGCGTGTGGGTCTGGACATAGCTCTGGGGCTCTGCATGTCTTTTTCTATTTGCGTGGATATGTGTGCACATCTTGGAGAGGCATGTGGGTGCATGATGAGGGTCCATGTGGGTGCGGACATCTGTGTGTGTGCCTGTGTGTGTATGTCAGAGGGTGTGCGTGTGTATGAGCGTGTGCAAGCATGTGAATATGTGAGTGTGCTTTTAAATGTGAGCGTGCATGGGGAGGATATCACATGGTGTGTTCATGGATGTTGCACGTATGCTACATGTGAGTATGTTACATGTGGATGTGAGCAGTGCCTTGTGCATTAGACCACATGTATGAGTATGTGAGCACGTGTTATGTGAGAAGACATATGTTGTGCTTTTCCATCTTCTCGAATTATGACCTCCCAGCAGACCCTCAAGTACCTCCTTGGCCCTGAGAACACAGCACAGGCACTGTCAAAAGGCCACCAGCCTCTGGCCTCAGCCCCAACTCGAAAAACCTCCCAAATCCCTCTGAGGACTACAATCATTTTTAACCCAACCCCACTTTGCCTTATGTAGCTTGGGCTATGAAAGCAATGGGTGTGTTGGTTTTAGAAGGGGTGTTATTGCAAAATATCCAATTATTTTATGATACAGAATGTGCTTTTCCAAGGTGCACCCACCCCGGCGATGAGGACCTCTGGTTGACAGTCTGGCCTAGGAAGGCTGCTGCGCCAGGATTGGTTCTTGGCTGATCCTTCCAGGGGGCTCCCCCAAGCTGGATGGTGAGGGGCCCAGGCCACAGCCCTGGAGATAGGGCTCCCTAGAGATGGCAGTCCAGAACCCTGCCACCTGCAGGCTGTGACCTCCCACAATTGCCTCACCAGGGCAGAAGACCCACACCCTGCAGGGAAACTGGTGGCCACTGGGCTTCTCCACGGAGGAGCCGACTCACCACACCTTCCGGGATTTGTTTTATTGTGATGTCATCCTCTGCAGAACGGGGTGGCTGGGGTGGAGTCAGATTTTATAAAACAGAAACCAGGTGGTGTTGCAAAATATGATATGATCTGGCCAAATGCAGATCCAGAACTCAGCTTCACATGCTGTGTAGCCTGTAGCATGTTGCTCAGCTTCTTTGAGCATCAGTCTTCTCACCTGTAAACTGGGAGTCTTAACAGTGCTGGGCTCGGGGCTCTCTTACTTGTTATCTAGGGGTCTTTCTTAAACATGGCAGATGTGCATGGGATGGGGCCTGGGATCAACGTGCCCTCGCTGCATGTGATCTCAGGCAGATCATTTTATCTGTGCTTCAGTTTCCTCACCTGTTAAATAGGGCTAATAATAACCGACTGCATGGGCATGTTGTGAGGGTTAAATTCCTTACTTTACATAAACGGTAGTAAGTAAGTGCTACAGAGCATGAGCTATTGTTATTTCGGGAATGCCTGAACCCAGTTTAAAACATCCCATCAGCAATGTAATATCATCATTTTTTTTTTTTAATCCAACTTGTAACCCACTCCCTGTGCAGCCTTGCCTACTTGGTGCTGTCAAGCAGCTGCTGTGTGCCAGGCACCTGGCCGGGCATCCCCGAGACAGCGTGGCATGGGTTATAAGCTGGGTGTCCTGCATGGGTGGGCTGTTCTGAAACCGTGCCCAGGTTTCCTGCAACGATTCAGCAATGCGGGCGCAGACTCAGGTTAAGTCACCCTGGGTGGCAGCCAGAGGTGGGAGCCAGCCGGCAAAAGAGCCACCTGGCAGCTCTCCACTCCCAGGGTGGATCCAGCGAGCTTGGGCTTGTGGTGGCTGTGGGCACCCCAGACTGTTTTGTGTGCTTGTCCAAAGCTGACTGACATCTGGGCAGAGAAGAGAGTGCTGTTGTCTTTCCCCTGAGCCTGGCACTGCACTGCACCCTGAGCCCACCCCACCTTAAATCGTGTCAGGGGCGTGTTGACGATCAAACGCTCACACTTGCTGGGTGAAGCCCTCTACCTGGGCCAAGCCAGGTGCTGAAACGCCTTGCGTGTCTTTTCTAGTCTTTGTGGAAACCCCTCGAAGTAAGTCCTATTTATTTCTGTTTTATAAGGAGAAAGCTGATACTCAGAGACATTTTGGAATCTTCCAAATCTATGTAGAAATCCTAGTTCCTTCAGTTGCCTCGGTGACTTCAGGCCAGCTACTTAACCTCTCTGAGCTTCATGGGATCATAGCAACGATTCAGTGAGACAGCATAGCTAAAACAACCTGGCAGCTGGCATAGTAAGTGATCAAAAAAAAGAGGTGGTGGTTATTACTATTATTATTATTTTATCTTTTTGCAAGGGAATATTCCTTGCCATTTTAACAAAGGCACAAGATTCTAAGTTGATGTCTTGATGACTACAGGGAGGGGTTATTTTTAGGAGAAAAACATTTTATTATTATTAGCAGCAGATAAGTTTGTAAGTTTCCTGCCTAGAGGGGACACTGCTTTCATCTTGAGGGTCTCATTGGCTTGTGGGGGTGGGGCTGCTCCTATTTCATGGAAAAGGAACTCTCTGGACCCAGATCTATAACTAGACTCATTTGGATGCTTTGAGCAGAAGGATGGTATATGGCAGTTGCTTAACAAACGTTTGTTGCATGTGTGGACGGGGCTCCCAGGCTCACTGGCGCAGCCTCGCAGTCTCCCATCAGGAGGCAGCCTGATGGAGGCATCTTCCTTTTGCAGAGCCATTCCCAGGTGCCAGGACCATCTCTTGGAGTTAGTCACTGAACCGTGATTATGATGGCCAGAGGTAAAGGAGCTGGTGGGAAACTGGGATGCTATCACATGACTCAAAGACCAGGGAATGGGTTAGAGGTAGTGAATGTGACCTTGACAGATAGGTGTGCACCGACTATGGGGGAAACATTGTTTTGTTTATTCAGTGAACATTTTTGTGCTCTGTGCTCGGATGCAAGGAGACACCCTGTTAGGACCAAGTTTGTACGTGAATCTCATAGACTTTTCAGAGACCTTGTCACAGGGGAAATCTGGGACCACTCTCTGCTGACAGGACTCTTAGGGTTCTATGTGAGAGAAGCTGATCTGGAACCAACTGAAATAAACGATTTTTATTGGTTCATGTGACCTGCAAGTTCCAAGTTCTGATTTTAGCATGGCTGTATGCAGCCGCTCAAATGATGTTATTTCATCCCACTTATGTCCTGGTGCAACTTTTCCTCTGTGTGGATGGGCTTTGTTCTCAGCCTGGACACTCCCAGGCAGCTCTGTTTCACCACTTTGGCAACTCCCAGGGAAAGAAAGCAGCTCTCTCCCTAGCTCTAGAAAATGTTCCAGGATTCATTCACTCTGATGTATCGACTTGGGTCTAAGTACTTGCCCAAGCTGTTTGACTACTTGGAGTCTCCTTGTTTCTATCTACCCCAAAGCTGCCTGCTCCCCAAGTCCTGGTTGAACTCCATAGCTACACAAATTCCCTCCTCTTTTTGCCTTTATTGTCTTCTCCATTTTTTCTCTCTCTTGGGGTGCAGTCATCCTTTTTTATGCCTTGTATCTAATTCTACCACAACCTGGCCATCTTTGCCTTTCTCTCTTCCCCTGGCACATAGTATAAAATACATGATAGGTGTCTAATGAGTATGTGTTGGTGGGTTTGGAGCATTAAGAAGGATTTAATTTAGAAGCCAAATCTCAGAATGGTTCATGGGAGGCTTACAGGCTAATTGAGTCAGAAGGGAAGGCCAGGAATACTCTTGCTGAACCCCATTGTTTATAGATGAGTCCCAAAGGCCTGTACAGTCTCCAACAGGCCAGGTGGGGAGGTGGGAATGGGGGAAAGGGACCAATTTAGAAGCCAGGCTTTCCTGGTTCAAATCCCAGCAGTTTGCCCATCTGGCTGTGCAATTCAGGCAAGTTGCTTTACTTCTCTGTGCTACCAATTCCTAGTCTGTAAAATGAGATAATTTACACAAATTTAAGGAAAGGGCCTGGCACACAGGGTGGACTGGTGGCTGTTTTCAGAGTCTCCAGGGATGAAGGAGGATCATAAATTCCATCCCTAGTTAACAGAGGAGGAAAGAACATTCCAGTGAGTTTGGAGACACTCCCAGGGTCACAGAACACTGTCAGATTGGCTTCACCTGGTGACCTTGACTGTCACCTGGGCTTGTAGCCTGCTGTGGCCCATAAAGAATATTGATGCTTCCTTTGCAGAAAGGGTGGCTTTGCCTGAAATGCTGTATTTCTCCCACGCTGGGTGTTCACAACTGTGTCTTGTGACCTGTTGTCCTCTTAGGAGCTGTCTTTGGCTAATCTGTCCATCGAGCAAGGCTCATTGTTTCCCCACAAATTGATGTGGGGGCCACACCGAGGGTTGGGGCCCAAGCTGGGAAGGGCCACTGCCCTGTTTGCTAGGCCTGTGGGTGCCATTCAGTGCAAAGATGCATCACCTGGCTTTCTCCCTGGGCAGTCTTATTTTTTCCATCTCTTCAGAAATATTTGGGGATGACTAAAAGGAAATATTCTTTTAACT